GCTGTGCTACAGTCCACAAATATCTTTTTCATCCTGGCAGATGCATGATAGAGATTAGAGATTAGAGATTATTGATTAGAGATTAGAGATTATTGGGTGGTGCAGCCTATTCCCCTGAATAATCTTAACCTACCATATTCTTAGCTTCTAGAATGGAAGAAGTGAGATGCAAGTATGATTCTTTTTTCTTCATGAGTCTAGTTATGTATCAGATTTTACCTAGATGCCTACTTTTAGATACTACTTCTATTTTATTATGTAGGCTACTAATTCAAGTCTGAAAAGCGATTATTCATTCCTAACATTCAATATCCTTCTTGTGTGTCCTTGATTTAATCAGAGAAGCATTGGAGTACCTTAAGTACTGACAATCCAATAAATGATGGAGGTATAGCAGTCTCTCCTCTAAGGGCCATCTCTGTACCAACTAACAAGGTGTTGGACATTGAGGAAGTTTCTTTGCTCCTTATCCCAAAAGCTAACTCTCCCACCTACTCTCTAGAGCATGCGTCCTCAAACTACGGTCCACGGGCCACATGCGGCTCACCAAGGACATTTATCCAGCTGGGTGTTTTTGCCACCACTGCCTGTCCTGCTTAGCAGCCAACTCGTCCCAGGGCCTACAGTCTGGCCCTCCAATGGTCTGAGGGATAGTGAACTGGCCTCCTGTTTAACAAGTTTGAGGACCCCTGTTCTAGAGTAAAAGTGACTCAACCCATGGATGGGTCTTTTAGCTTCCTTCACACTTTTAAGTGGGCAGAATTAGGCAAGGAGATCAACAGGTGATCCCCGTGTTACAGAATGAATGTTTGTGCTCTACTCTCTCATTCATATTTTGAAGCCCCAACTCTCATTGTCACTGCAATTGGAGACTGGGCCTTTGTGGAGGTCATTAAAGTTCAGTGATATCATAAGACTGGGACAGTGATCCAATAAGATTAGTATCCTTCTAAGAATAGCCCAAAGTCACTCTCCCCACTCCTCTCACCAAGCCAGGAAGAGAGCCCTCATCAGAAACCCTTCACCAGAAACCCATCCCAATTGACACTGATCAGATATATATAGAGAGATAGATAGAAATAGATATAGATATATAGAGAGATAGACAGACATATATATTATACACACACACACATAAACAAGTATTGGAAAAGAAAGCAGAATAATTTAAACTTCTCATTGGGGTGTTTTTCTACAAAATTCTATAATGATATAATAAGTAAGACTTTGCAGAAGAAGAATGAAATTGCACATTAAAAACTGCATAGAAAGTCATTAAAAGATGATGCCCCTTATTCTCCTGGGAGTTTTAATAAACTAGTTTTTTTTTTTTAATTTCAAACATGCAGAAGACAAAGTGATATGCAAGTCCACTAATTGTGACATACCTTTTAGAACAAAAAATTGCAATTGTTGTTCTCTATGTAAATTAAAACATACTTCATATATTTGTTACTGGCTAAGTATCCAATCACCTAGGGAACTTTGATTTTTAATTTTTGTATTTATGTATTTTTTTTAAGACAGAGTCTCACTCTGTGGCCCTGAGTAAAGTGTTATAGAGTCACAGCTCACAGCAACCTTAAACTTCTTCAACCAATCCTCTTGCCTCAGCCTCCCAAGTAGCTGGGACTACAGGCACCTGCCAAATACCCAACAGTGCATACTTTCTATTTTTAGTAGAGATGGAGTCTTGATCTTTCTCAAGCTGCTCTTGAACTCCTAAGCTCAGGCGATCTATCCACCTCTGCCTCCCAGAGTACTAGGATTACAGGCATGGGCCACCACGCCTGGCCACCTAGGGAACAAGTTCCTGAGACCCATTTCCTAGATATTCTAATTTGAGAAGTCTGCAGAAATCAGTATATATGATAAAATAGAAAGTTCATGTTAGTGTATTAAACAAATTGCTACTCTGATTCAAGTAGCTACTGGGATTAGTCCCATAATTCAGTGCTTTCCACATTCTAATTACTGTGCATGCAAATCATCAAGAAGTATTACTAAGAGGAAGATTCTGATCCAAAAGGGCTGGAATGATTCCTGGGAATATGCAGTTTCAACAAGCTCCAGGTGATGGCCATGCTGCTGGTCCAAGGACCACAGTTGAGTAGTAAGACCTTATGAGATCTTTCGACCTTTCCACAGGTGAATAATAGAAGGCAGTTACCTAGGTATTTTCTCCCACTGGAATATTTTCTTCATGTTTTACCAAACAACTTTAAACATAGCTAGAGTACACAGTTTGCAAAATACTTACCTTTACTATATACGTGCGCACACACACACACCCTACTCAAGAGAATGGAAATTATTTCCTTCATTTACAGTTGTTTAAATGGTATCACTAAAAAATACCACAGTGCAGGGCCAGGCACAGCAGCTCACACCTGTATTCCTAGCACTCTGGGAGGCTGAGGAAGGTAGATTGCTTGAGCTCAGGAGTTTGAGACCAGCCTGAGCAAGAGCAAAACCCCGTTTCTAAAAAAAAAAAAAAAATAGCTGGGCTTTGTGGCGGGTGCCTATAGTCCCAGCTACTTGTGAGGCTGAGGCAAAAGGATCACTTGAGCCCAAGAGTTTAAGGTTTCTGTGAGCTGTGATGCCAAGTGCAACAAAGTGGAACTGTCTCAAAAAAAAAAAAAAAGATATCACAATGCATATATGAAATTAAAATTTATATAATTTTCAATATTATATTCAAAGATGTTAACCACAATCATGGTTATAATAGTGAAATATTAGAGAAAAATCTATATATCCAACAAGGAAGGACTGGATAAATAACCTATACAAAGTTTATGGTAAAATACTAAGCATCTATTAAAAATAATTATGTAAATGTGCACTTACAATGAAAAGACATTAACTATAAGTGAAAGATTACAAAACGTGGCCAGGCACAGTGGCTCACACCTGTAATCATAGTACTCTTAAAGGCCAAAGCGGGATGATTGCTTGAGCTCAGGCATTTAACACCAGCTTGAGCAAGAGCCAGACACCCCCCACCCTGACCTCCAAGCAACCCAACCCCATCTATACTAAAAATAGAAAAGAAAAATTAGCCAGGCCTCATGGTGGACACCTGTAGTCCCAGCTACTCAAGAGGCTGAAACAGGAATATCTCTTGAGTCCAGGAGTTTGAGGTTGCTATGACCTAGGCTGATGCCACAGCACTCTAGCCCGGGGAAACGGAGGGAGACTCTGCCTCAAAAAACAAAATAATAAAAACTTACAGAATGATATATATCATATATATATATATCAATGATATATATATATATATAGACTAAAAATTTTAGTATAATTTTAGATATATATCTAGAAAAAAGGTACACTAAAAATTTTTTAAGCATGTTCAAAATAGCGGAATATTAGATAATTTTGATGCTTGCTTGCCAGTATTATCTAATATTTCTACTTTAACATATGCCTTACAAAATTCTTAAAGGGTAAAAAGAAGTGAGAAGAAAACCAAACAAATCTCACACATGCACAAACCTTTCAAGGACCACTCAAATGGCTTGACTAATAGGTAAAATGTGCTGTCCAAAAAGTTAGTTAAAGGACTTCCTAAATTAGAAACACTTAAAAAACTTATTAAAATTGCAGTCCTGAACCCCACTCCAGACCTACTGAATCAAAAAATCTGTGGTACTAGGTCCAGAATCTTCATATGAAACAAATACTGATTCTTTCAGACCGTAAAGTGTGGAAACCCTTTAAACAAAAAGCTTCCTAGAAATGCAGGGACCTGGAGTAAATTCCAACCTATCTGAACGGCGACCTACAGCAAACTCAGAATAGGTGAAATCATTATATACATACAAACCCACAAAGACCACTGGAATATGAACAACAAAAATCTGTACTTAGTAATTGGCTTTCTACCATCTCAATTTTAAGCAGCCCATGTGAACACTGACCATTTCACAAGAGCTGACTGAAATCACAAGGGTTTTCCTTATATTTGACCTAAATCTGTCTGAAATTATTCTCATCATACCCCCTTCTATGATGTTCTCTCCCCATTTAGTCATTAGTTAGTTAAAAGTACTATACAAACATTAATATGGAACCAAGAATCTAGGTAATTCATTCTCCTGTTGCTTTCATTTCTCATTTCTAAAAGAAAATTGCAGTTGACTAAGCTTAGTAGAGCCCAATGATGATTTTTTCCAGAGATCCTCTATGAGGTACACTCAAAGGCATGATGAGTTTATACCAACAGAGGCCCTCAAAGAATCAAGAAAAACCTTTCCTGTTCTGAAAAGCACCACATGAACTCCCACAATTTTGTTGAAAAAGTATATATTGGCCCGGTGCAGTGGCTCACACCTATAATCCCAGCACTCTGGAAGGCCAAGGTGGGTAGATTGCTTGAGCTCAGCAATCTTGCTTTAGGCTGAGACCAGCCTAAAAAAGAGCGAGACCCCATCTCTTAAAAAAAAAATCGCCGGGCATTGTGGCAGGCCCAGCTGTAGTCCCCGCTACTCAAGAGGTGGAAGCAAGAGGATCACTTGAGCCCAAGAGTTTGAGGTTGCTGTGAGCTATGCACCACAGCATTCTACCAAGGGCAAGAAAATGAGACTATTTCCAAAAAAAAAAAAAAAAGTATATGTCACACTGAATACGTCCCTGTATCTCACCCTCAAGTATTTAGTATAACAACCAATTTGCAAAGCTCATACTTACTATGAGTTTCAAAGGGAGACATTGAGAATTCCAGGAATTTCCTAAGGCTAATCAATTCAGAGAATTTTCCCCAAAGAAAGCCTTGATAGATATTTTTCCCCTTTAAAACAGAAAACAACAGGAGAGAAAAAAGGTTTGGCATGAGCTCCTAATAGGATCTAGGAAAAGAGCATATTTTCTATAAGGTGGAGGGCAAGCCCTTTGTTTTCATTTTAATCCATGATATATTTTAATCCCAGATCACTCAGAAGGCCAGGCCAGCTAAGAATGGAATTTACTAAAATCAGGAAGATTATATATATACCCACCTGCAGCTCACACCAAGCAACTTCAACCCATGTTTCGGTGTCTAGTCCTTTATATACTGTTTTAAATGCTCCTCTTCCCAGCTCTATGTCAAATTTCAGGAACCTGCCACTAGGAGAAGTAGCTACAGCCTTCATTTCTGCTTCTTCTTCCATTTCCTTCTCATTTTTCTCCTTGAAACAATCTTTTGAAGTTTCGGACATTGCCTTTGAACACTGTTCATATTTAACTTCTTGTCCACCTCTTAGCACATTTGTAGGAAGTTTATCTACTCTTGGAATATTTGTTGCAGTCTTTATTTTCTCATCTTTGGGAGAAGATTCAGCAACTTTGTCATCTTCCATTATCTCAATACTCTTTCGGAAAAATCTCTTCCTTTCTACAGTTTCCCCAGAAGCAGAGAAGAAGCTGATTTTTTCCTTGAGTCTAGCTTCTACTGTCAAAGTTGCAGCAACCTGAGGAACTCTGTTTCCAAATGAAACTCCATCAGGTTTCTCAGAATCTTCTGTGCTGGCTGGCTCCCCTGAATCAGTGGCCATTGTAATTAAGGTTAGTGCTAAAATTTTTCCTGTTCCACTTTTCAGTCCAATTACATCTCAGGTATAAGAATTATCAGAATGGATTTCCTTTTATGTGGTCATATATTTCCATAGCAACCTGAAGGGGGGAAAGATATTTTAAAATCATCCCACAAAGGAAATCAGTAAGGAGAAAACAAGTCACCTGATTTTTAATCCCTTTTTGCTTAATAAGTTCATTCTTTTTTCTGTTCAATATTAGCAATAAGTAGACTATAGGGACTGTGTCATATCTTATTTATCACTGTAGCTGTCAGTGTCTAACAAACTACTTGGTATATAGCTCAATCTGTCTTCATATGGCATGAACATTGGTTAGGAACCTAGTTCTCAGCCCCATCTATCAATCCATCAAATTCAAAACAAGTGCCCAAACCTTGAGTTCACTTAGCTACAAGGTGACATTCACAACACATCAAACAATCACATGATTTCTAGGTGATTTTTGTTTAAAATTCTAAAATTTATCCAACAGCAGTTTTTACTTTATTTTACTGTAGTAAAATACACATAACATTAAATTTACCATTTTAATCATTTTTAGGTGTACAGTTCAGTGGCATTAAGTATATTCACAATGTTGTATAGTCACAACTATCTATTCCCAGAACTTTTTCATCATCCCAAACTGAAACTCTGCAATCATTAAACAATGATTCCCTATCTCACCCCTGGTAACCTCTATTCTACTTTCTATCTCTATGAATTTGCTTATGCTAGGTACTTCATTTGCAATGCTGTATAATCACAACTATCCATTGATCTATCAAATCCATTCAAATCTATCCATTCAAATCTATCTCTATGAATTTGCTTATGCTAGGTACAACATTCACAATGTTGTATAATCACAACTATCCATTCCCAGAACTTTTTCATCGTCCCAAACTGAAACTCTGCAATCATTAAACAATGATTCCCTAGCCCACCCCTGGTAACCTCTATTCTACTTTCTATCTCTATGAATTTGCTTCATAGAGAAACTCTGCAATCATTAAACAGTGATATCCCACCCACCCCTGGTAACCTCTATTCTACTTTCTATCTCTATGAATTTGCTTATGCTAGGTACTTCACATAAATGGAATCAGACAACATTTGTCCTTTTCTGTCTGGATTATTTCACTTAGTACACAATAATGTTTTCAAGGTTCCTAGATGTTATAAACATGAATCAGAATTTCTTTACTTTTTAAGGGGGAACAATATTCCATTAGATGTATATACCATACTTTGTTTTTCCATTCTTCTGTCAATGAATTGGACAGTTTCTATCTTCTGACTACTATGATTAATGCTCCTATGAACATCCAATGGTAGTTTTAAATAATACAAATACTTGTTTATCAGTTTGCCATCAGATTTTAACAAAAACTACCAAATATTAATATACAATCATAAAAGAGTATCAAGACAGGCTTAAAAGCATGCATTCTATTAAACAAGCAATTCCACTTAGAAAAGTGTTCCTTAGAAAATAGTCAAGGATCTGGCTAGACACCTGTAGCACAATGGTTACCACATACACCAAGGCTGGCAGGTTCAAACCTGGCCCAGGCCAGCTAAACAATGACAACTGCAACAGAAAAATAGCCAGACATTTTGGCAAGCACCTGTAGTCCCTGCTACTTGGGAGGCTGAGGCAAGAGAATCACTTAAGCTCAAGACTTTGAGGTTGCTGTGAGCGTGACATCATGGCACAGTACTGAGAGTGACATAGTGAGACTCTGTCTCAAAAGAAAAAGAAAATAGTCAAGGATCTGCACAAAGATTTAACAATATAAAAATGTTCATTATAGCACTTGCTAATTTGGAAAAAACTAAACATATAACCCCAATAGGGGGTTAGTTAAATATCTCAAAATGAGGAATGATGCAGCATTAAAAATAACACTGTAGTTTACAATGAAATGAAAAGATGTTCCCTATATAATGATATGGTTACATGAAAAAAGGAATATATACAAGCTTCCATACACAAAGATATTAATTCTGAATACAGACACACTATATACACATACACACAAATTAACTTTAAACTGTAGAAGTATGAGCTCTTTTTTTTTTTTTTTTTTTTTTTTGAGACAAGAATCTCATTCAGTTGCCCCAAGTTAAGGTATGGGCTTCTTTTTTCTTTCTGCATTTTTATTGTATTTTCTAAAACTTTCCACAATGAACATTTACAAATACATGAAACACAATGAGGAAAAAAGTTTCTCAAGTAAATGGTCAAATCACCAATAGAAAAATTTTCCCTTCCTACCACAATCATATTATTGCAAAATTAAATCTGTATATCCAATTACTATGTTATGTGCCATGGAGGGTACAATTTGTCACAATGATTTTTTTAAGAATTATGTCAAATAAAAAATACAAAGAAATATGTGAGCTATTAAAGCCATAGCAAGCTACCCAGAGCTACAGAGGGAGACTGTTTCAAAAAAAAAAAAAAA